CTTGTTGTCTCGGATTCTCCAGCATCTGCAGTTCCTACTATCTCTGAGTGCAGATACCTGGCCAGGTTACGGTGCAAGAGGAGATGGGGAGGGATGAGGATGACAATTGTAAAATGCAGGTACTACTTAACCAGGATCCCATATGATGGTAACAATGTGCCTGATCTCTATTGGGAGCTCTTGCTGAAGCTGTCCTCTGAACAGTGGGAGATAGAGAGACATCACAAGCCCTCAAAATAGTTAGAATACCACAGTGCTAACGACATAATTCAGAAAACAGAAACCTACATAATCGTAAATCTTAACTGCTTGAAACAATTCCACAATGTTTACTTAGAGCGAAATAAAAGTAACTCCCACTGGTGTATCCCTGTTCTTGCAATTTCCCCCCAACTTCCTAAACTTCTCTTCACCTCACGCCACCGTGTGGTTTATTTCAGCCAATGGTTTAGACATGCCGTTTAGTTCTGCATAACTTCGGTTCTCACGTTAAGATACAAAAGTTTTCACAAAAAGCACACACATGCACACAGGACCACAATACTGCAGCCAACACAAGACGTCCGAGCTTAACCAGATAGCCATTTGTTTGGCGAACCAAGAGGCGGACACGGACTAATAAACTTACTGGTTGTAGTGTCTGTCACCTTCAGGAAACAAAGCGGGACGAGAAGGAACATCATCCTGGCAGCTGCGGGTCGAAAAGTACAGATATGCTAAATAAACTGTTCAGAATTAAAATAGATTTCTTTTGAATGCATAAGACAAAGGGGTGGATGGGAATGACAAACAAGATACCATTCCCTTTACCTTCCATTACACAAAGCTAGTCCTCTGCTTCAAAGTTGAACAGGAACTGCTGGGATACCAATCAACTTCAGCTTCCGAGGAAACTATATTTGTCAAATGATAAACTCGTCTGAGAAAAGTTGCTCCAGTCTGTTAGAGGAAGATGTGGAAACTGCTGCCAGAAATGAACCAGTAAACTGCAGCCGAAGTAACCCCTTCAGTTGTGGGTGTTGGAGCCTTACAACATGAACACAAAAGTTGAACACAGCCTTCAATGTGTCACCGTAATTCTAGGTGGGCGGGGACTGATGCCGAGCCGAGTCTCAATAGGCAACATACATACTCTCTGCTTGCAAACTGATTCCCAACCAGCCCGTTCACAGATTTTATTGCTCACCTCTGGAACAGGTGGCATTTGAACAAGGGCACCTAGCTTAAACGAAGGGACAAACCACCGCACCACAGGGGCTCAAGCACTTGAGTTGACGTAAGTGACCTATTTAATAGGTAAACGAACAAAGTCTAACACATTTCTGAAGAATGATTGCTGAAGAAGGGTCTAGGCCCGAAACGTCAGCTTTCCTGCTCCTCGGCCGGCCGTGTTCATCCAGCTCTATACCTTGTTATCTCAAAGTCTAACACATATCCCCAAGGCTGATCATTCTGAACGAAACTAAAAGCTTCTGCATGAAAAGGTGAAATGAAATACAATGTTAGTTTCCAGGTATATTCCACGTCCCTGCAACTATAAAATAAAATCAAGAGGAGTGGTTTGGAGCGTTGGCAGATTTCAAATGTGAGCACTAGTTCAGTACATTTACTGGAAACAAGGGCCTCTTATGTGTCCCCAACTATCCCCATGGGGACAGTTTGATTTTGATAGTTTCTCAAGTGCATTTTTGAGCATTCTCAGTTCATTGGAATCATAAGTTAGAAATAAGTTATCCAGGTTTTCGAGATTTAAATTTGAAAAAAAAAATTAGCTGCACAAGCTTCAATATAATTTTACAGAGCACAGTGCCTTCAGTTGAGAATGTGTGCCAGATTGATTTGTCAATGGTAATCCATTAAAATGACCCTGTCACTCTAGGATGAGGATTAGATTAAAATAGTTTGTCTTTTGAATCTGAAATAACTGCATTGAGGCTGGTATCCCATCACCAAGTCAACCTTTATTTACATGCGCTGACCAGTCAGCTCAAAGCCAATCTCTACACTGAGGAGACCTTCTGAATCTCTTGCTTATATCTGTCAGCCAGGGCTCCTGATTGGCTCAAGTTAACAACACTAATCAGGGATCTCATAGTCAATGAGGTCCACCTGGCCATGGTTCCAATCACTACAAAATCTGAGGTGAATATGGCCAATAATAGGTTCCTTGGTTGCCAAAAGCATAAAGGGCTCATCAGATACTCAGATTCCACCACATAACCCATAATTGTCTGAAGCCTCTTTTGTGCCCAGTTCTATTATCAATGTGCAGAACCTGTGGAGCAAAGATTCATTCGGCTCAAAAATAACACCTCATTTTCCACTTGGGGACCCTACAGCCCTCCAGACCCAACATTGAGTTCAATAATTTTAGGGTCTAAACTCTCCCATGTCCCAGCCCCCCACCCCACACACCAGGCCTTGTTACCACATAGCCTGCCATTACACACCCCTGTTGTTAGTCACTATCAGTCCCCATTAACAACTATTCACCCTCCCAGCCTGATCGTTAGCAACTCCTTTGTCTGTCCAACTGTCTTTCTCTCTCTTTGGGCTCTATCCTATCGTTTACTCCCTACCCCACCCACCTCCCTATTTTCTGCATATAAACTGACGTTTTCCCAGCCACCATCAGTTCTGAGGAAGGGTCACCAGACCCGAAACATTAACTCTGTTTTCTCCTTCACAGATGCTGCCAGACCTGCTGAGCTTTTCCAGCAACTTTGTTTTTGTTCCTGATTTATAGCATCCGCAGTTCTTTTGGTTTTTATTCACAAGGCTCATTTAGGTCCCATTCCCAATTTATGTGAAGTCTTCGCCATGCAACATAGTTGGAGAAGCTGAGTAGCTACAAAGCACATTGTGAAGGAATGATGCACGTGAGTGAGAGATTTGGGATGATTTCAGCATGTTTAGCTGGGTGATCCTGACATCGTAATAGAACAGAAATTCCTGGAAAATCTCAGCAGGTCTGGCAGCATCTGTGGAGAGAAATCAGAGTTAATATTTCAGGTCCAGTCACCCTTCTTCAGAACTGAGATTTTCCAACAATTTCTGCTTTTGATTTCAGATTTCCAGCATCCGCAGTTCTTTTGGTTTTTTGTTTGCAATAGAGCTGACAAATTTACCTGGAACTGCAAAGTTCTAACTCAGGAAGCTGCTGTTACCATGCTCCTCCTTACCTCAGCAGCCCTCTGAATAGTGTTTGTGCCAGAAAACCCACTTCTGGAAAATGGAGCAATCACTCTATTAAACAAAAAACTGGGAACAGTATTAACAAATTAGCTGATACCACATTGTTGTGACACAGGAACAAACTATAATGTTAGTCGCACAAACATAGGTGCATATGAACTACAGTAACAGTAGGCCATTTGGCCCTTCAAGTCTGCTCCACCACTTACTAACCTATGAGCTGATCTGATTATAATCTTAATACACACTCCTGGCTATCCTTGATAACATAGAACATAGAATTGTACAGCACAGGAATGGGCCCTTCGGCCCACGATGTTGTGCTGAACATGTCGCTAAATGAAACTAATCCCTTCTGCCTGGCCTTGGTCCATATCCCTCCATTCCTTGCATATTCATGTGCTTATCCAAAAGTCTCTTAAATACCCTTATCGTATCTGCCTCCACCACCACCTCTGGCAGCATATTCCACACTCCTACTACTCCCTGTGCAAAAAGTGTGCTGCCACATCTCCTTTGAACTTTACTCCCTCACCTTAAGTGCATTCTGCCTAATATTAGACGTTTCAATTCTGGGAAAGAGATTCTGACCGTCAACCCTATCTATGCATCTCATAATTTTATAGACTTCTATCAAGTCTTCCCTTAATCTCCGCTGCTCCAGCGAAAACAGCCCAAGTTTTTGTATTCTCTACTTATAGTTCATTTCTCTAATCCAGGTAGCATCCTGGTAAACCTCTTCTGCATCCTCTCCAAAGCTTCCAAATCCTTCCTGTAATGTGGCGACCAGAATTGAACACAATACACTTAGTGTGGCCTAACCAAACCTGCAACATGACATCCTGACTCTTGTACTGAATTTCCCAACCAATAAAGGCAAGCATGCCATGTGCCTTCTTTACCAAACTATCTACTTGCATGGCCACTTTCAGGGAACTATGGACTTGAACCCCAAGATCCCTTTGTAAATCAGTGCTGTTCAGGGTCCTGTTATTAACTGTATACTTTTCTTTAACACTTGATCTCCCAAAATTCAGCATTTCACACTTAGCCGGATTAAACACCATCTGCCATTTCTCCGTCCCTATCTGCAACTGATCTATATCCCACTGTATCCATTGACAACCTTCCACACTATCTACAACTCCACCGATCTTTATTTTTCTGCAAACATACTAACCCACACATCTATATTTTCATCTAAGTCATTTATATATATCACAAACTGTAGAGGTCACAGTCTGGATCCTTGCAGAACACCATTAGCTATAGACCTCCAGCCTGAAAAACAACGTTTCATCACTACCCTCTGCCTTCTATCAGCGAGCCAATTCTGAATCCATGTGGCCACGTCATCGTGGATCCCTTGCATCTTAATCTTCTGGATGTGCCTACCTTGAGGGACCTTCTCGAAAACCTCACTAAAATCCAAGCCACCCAACTGCAAAGTCAATTAGAGATGGACAATAAATACTTGCCTTGATAGCTATGTTCACATTGTAAGAGAGTGCATGTAATTGCCTATCAAAGGAATTAGGAGGACAAAAGGAGGCCACAAAATATCTTCGGCAGATCAAGGTTGGTTCAGCCTCAGGTGGAATACCATGTGCAGTTCTGGTTGCCACATTATCAGAAAGATGTGATTGCAATGGGAAGGGTGCAGAAGAGATTCACCAGGAAATGGCCTGAGATGAAAAGTCTCAGTTTTGAGGAGAGACTGGATAGACTCAGTTTGTTTTCCCTGGAGCAGAGGAGGCTGGGATGGGGGAATCTGATACACAAAATTATGGAAGGGTAGATTGTGAGAATCTTTTCCCAATGGCAGATGTGTCTAAGATCAGACAGCACAAGTTTACTTAAAGTGTTTTAGAGGAATTTGGAGAAAATTTTTTTTCACCCAGAGGGTGGTAGAAATATGGAACGAACTGCCTGAAAGGGTGGTGGAGGCAGGTACTCATGCAACATTTAAGAAGCATCTGGATGAGCACTTAAAATGCCAGGGCATAGCAGCTATGGACCAAGAGCAGGTAAATGGGACTCGTGATGTTTGTTGGTCAGCATAGACACGGTGGGCTGAAGGGCCTGTTGTTTGTTCAATGACTCTAAGACTCTAAGTTTTCAAAATCATGAGAGACCTGGATAGTACAGATCGGGAGAAACTTGTCCCACTTATAAAAGAATTGAGATTGAGAAGGCACAGATTTAGAGTGACTTACAAATATAGCAAATGCGATGTGAGAAAGATCCTTCTCACAAAATGACTGATTTGGATCTGAAATGCACTGTTTTGCCAATGTAGAGGAGGCACAGCCAACTGAGGCATTCAAGAGGACATTGGATGATTATTTGAAGAGAAATAAAGTACAGTGAAAAGACAGGCAAATGGTACTCAGTCATAATGTTCTTTAGAGAGCCAGCTAAATGACCTTTCTACCCTGTAACAGTTGTGTGATTCTGTAATCCTATTTTATATAACTTAGCCCTCAGGCAGGTGTTGATGAATTCAAAACATTCATTTGCCAAAGCCAACTAGCTATTTTTTCGTTGAGATATGAATAAAATGTAGTGGCAACAAGTCTGAATAGTCCATCTACTGTGACTTAATTACAGTGGACACACAGCACAGAAATAAGCCATCTGGCCTGACCACTCTATGCTACGTTTTGTGTTCTACTTGAGCCTCCTCCTATCTTTGCACTTGTAAATCTACCATCTTAACCCTTATCCGCCTCCCTCTCATATTTGTTTAGCCTCCTTTAGTTCAATATTTTTCCTACCACTGATGAGACACATCAGGAAGAGGGAGAGTTACCTGGATACTGTGTTTGAGAATGCAGCCACATCTCCTAAAGTAACTACCTCAAATTCTGTCAGTGGTCAAGGACAGGAAGAATGTGTCTACGAGCAAGGCAGGTAGAGGGATCCCACAAGTGGTGTTGAAGGAGCCTCAGCTCTTGAGCCTGTCTAACAGGTTTGAGATTATTACTCCCTGTGTGAATGAGAGTGGGGGCTGTAGAGAGGATGAGTAAACTGACCACAGCACTGTGGTATAGGGAGCCATTCAAGAGTGGGGAGAAAAGTGAAATGTAGCTGTAATCATGGATAGTTCAGTCAGGGGAATAGACATTGTTTCTGTGGCCAGGATCGAGAATCCCGAAGGTTGTGTTGCCTGCCTGGAGCCCAGGTTCAGGATATGTCATCTGGATTGTGGAGGAACTTGGAGTGGGAGGGGAAAGATCCAGTTGTTGTGATCCATGTAGATACCAATGATATAGATAGAAAAAGGAAATGGGTTCTGCTGAGGGAATATGAGCAGGTAGGGGCTAAAATAAAGAGCAGAACCATAAAGATAACAATCTGAGTTACTATCTGATCCACAAGCAAAGTGGCACAGGGTCAACAAGGTTAAAGAAGCAAACACGTGGCTCAAAGATTGGTGTGGGAGAAACGGGTCCAGATTCATGGGACATTAGCACCAGAACTGGGGAAGAACGGAGCTGTTCCAATGCGATGGGCTCCACCTGAATCATGCTGGGACCAGAGTCCTGGTGGCTCTCTGGGCTGTGGATAGGGCTTTAAGTTAAATAGTGGGTTCAGTTGCATTGAAAATTATGGAAAGAGTTAAAGAGGGAGATAGGGTTCAGCAGAGGTTATTGAAGTTTCCAGCATAAGTAAGAGACAGACAGAGAGTGTGGACAGGGTCAGGAATCTACCTTTAGGACAACTACGAGATGGGGGACAGTCAATGCAGGAGTGAGGGTGTTGTACTTAAATGCATGCAGTATACGAAACAATGTAAATGAGCTTGCAGTGCAGATTGAAATTGACAGGTATGATACTGTGTGTATCAGAGAGACATGGCTGCAAGGGGATCAAGACTTGGAACTAAACATCCAAGGATACGCATCCTATCAAAAGGACAGGAAGATGAGCAGAAGAGGCAGAGTTGCCTCATTGGTAAGAAATGAAATTAAATCGATAGCAAGAAGTGATGTAGAGTTGGAAGTTGTTGAGTCTGTGTGGGTACAGTTGAGGAAACGTAAAAGGGAAAAAGACCCTGTTGGGAATTGTATACAGGCCTTCTAGCAGTGGTCAGGATGTGGGGAAGAAAACAAATCAGGAGATAGAAAAGGCATGTGAACAAGGCACCATGACAATAATCATGAAGGGTATGGAGAGGGTGAATAGAGAGCAGCTGTTTCCCTTGGTTGAGTGGTTAATCATAAGAGGACATTGTTTTAGGGTAAGGTACAGGAGGTTCAGAGGGGATTTGGGAATAAAACCTTCTCACTCAGTGGGTGGTGGGAATCTAGAATGCACTGCATGGGAAGGTTGCAGAGGCCGGAAAACTTACAAGCTTTAAAAAGTATTTGGATGAGCACTTCATCATATCATAACATTCAAGAATAAGGGACAAATGCAGGAAATTGGGATTAGCGCACCTTCAGTGGTAGTTATGTCAGTGCAGACTCGATGGGCAGTTTGGCCTTTTCTGCACTGTATGAATCTATGAATCCATAAACTGACTGGTCTATAATTGTCTGGGCATGTCTGTCCACCCTCTTAAAGATAGCAATCACGCAAGCTATTTGCCAAGCTTCTAATACTGCACATTTAGAAATAAATCATTAAATATTTGCAATAAAGCCTTTGCTAACTCTTCCTTAAATTCTTTTAAAATATGCAGATGTAATTAAAGCATAGTCTGAGAATTAGGGCCAGATCATTTAGGAGAGATGTTAGGAAGCACTTCCACACACTGAAGGTGGTAGATGTTTGGAACTCTCGGCCCCAAGTGGCAGTAGATTAGTTGCTAATTTTAAATCTGAGATAGATCATTTTTTTAAACAAAGATATAAGGAATATGGACCAAAGGCAAGCATATTGAGATACACCACAGATCAGCCATGAATGGTGGAAAAGGCTCAAGGGACTAAATAGCCTACTCCTGTTCCTAGTTTCCTATAATTCATTTTGGCCAATAGTTTTATCCAGTTTGAATTTGATTAAGTTATTTGGTCAAGCCCTTTCAGGACTTTAGTACACCTATCGCATCATTCAATGTCATGTCAACCTGTGTGATCTCTCTGAGAGAAGTCATTATTATCGTGGTTGCCAGCTGTCAATGTGAGTTGTTCTTTTTGGGATTGGTGCTTGTTTCATTGATTCTTCATCTGACATTTAAAAGAGTAACCATTTAGCTCTGACATGCTATGTGCTTATAGCATTTTGTTCTATACTAGTGATAAAGAAGTTCCAAGTTTCTTTTCTCCAAAATGGTTGATATTACAAAGGCAAAACCCCTTAGTTTAAAAGTGAAAAATATAACATAAGAACATAAGAACTAGGAGCAGGAGTAGGCCGTCTGGCCCTTCGAGCCTGCTCCGCCATTCAATAAGATCATGGCTGATCCTTTCGCGGACTCAGATCCACTTACCCGCGTTCTCACCGTATCCCTTAATTCCTTTATTGTTAAAAAAAATCTATTTTTTTTTAAAAACATTTACTGAAGTAGCGTCAACTACTTCACTGGGCAAGGAATTCCATAGATTAACAACCCTCTGGGTGAAGAAATTCCTTCTCAGTTCAGTCCTAAATCTGCTCCCTCTAATCTTGAGGTTATGCCCTCTTGTCCTAGCTTCACCTGCCAGTGGAAACATCCTCTCTACTTCTATCTTATCTATTCCCTTCATAATTTTATATGTTTCTATAAGATCCCCCCTCAATCTTCTGAATTCCAATGAATATAATCCCAATCTACTCAGTGTCTCCTCATAAACCAACCCCCTCAACTCCGGAATCAACCTAGTGAACCTCCTTTGCACCCCCTCCAGTGCCAGTACATCCTTTCTCAAGTAAGGAGACCAAAACTGCACACAGTACTCCAGGTGTGGCCTCACCAGCACCTTGTACAGCTGCAACATAACCTCTCTGCTTTTTATTTCAATCCCTTTAGCAATGAAGGACAAAATTCCATTTGCCTTCCTAATTACTTGTTGTACCCGCAGACCTACCTTCTGTGATTCATGCACAAGGACACCCAGGTTCCTCTGCACAGCAGCATGCTGCAACTTTTTACCATTCAAGTAATAATCCTTTTTACTATTACTCCTACCAAAATGTATGACTTCACATTTATTTACATTGTATTCCATCTGCCAGACCTTTGCCCACTCACTCAATGTATCTATGTTCCTCTGCAAAGTTTCACAGTCCTCTGCACACTTTGCTCTGCCACTCATCTTAGTGTCATCTGCAAACTTTGACACCCTCACGTGGTCCCCAACTCCAAATCATCTATATAAATTGTAAATAACATCATCTTCTCAAAATATAGCCTTGCTGTGTCATTGCTGAATTTCAATTAACCTGCTTCCTGCACTGAATAGGTAGTCTTAAATTAAACCAGCTGACTAAATTGGAGATAGTAGGAACTGCTGATGCTGGAGTCTGAGATAATAGTGTGGAGCTGGAGGAACACAGCACGCCAGGCAGCATCAGAGAAGCAGGAAAGCTGATGTTTCTGGAGAAGGGTCCCGACCCGAAAAATCAGCTTTCCTGCTCATCTGAAGCTGCCTGGCCTGCTGTGTTCCTCCAGCTCCACACTGACTAAATTGGATCCTTTCATTAAGTGATCAAATTCTACCATGACGCAGGGCTCAGCAAAGCAATGGCAGCATGTTAGATCTCATGCAGCTGAATTAAAATAGGTTATAGAATGTTCCTCAGGAATTAGCTGCATCAGAGTACTGACGCTAATTCTCAACCCTGACTGGGAGTATCATAGTGTAACTTTCATGTTGAAGCATTCCAAAACAAAGGAACCCCTGTTACAATTATCTGTGTACCGTCACATCAGCTTTTATATAGTACCTGTAAAATACAAAATCATCCCAGGCAAGTTACAGGAGCATTATCAAACAGATTAGGACACCAAGCCACAAGCTGTCAGGACAGATGGCCAATAGCTTGTTCAAAAGAAAAATTTTTCTGAAGAAGGGTCTAGACTGAAACGTCAGCTTTCCCGCTCCTCTGATGCTGCTTGGCCTGCTGTGTTCATCCAGCTCTACACCTTGTTATCTCAGATTCTCCAGCATCAACAGTTCCTACTATCTCTGTAAATATTTTAAGGAGCATCTTAAAGGGGAAAAGTGGCTGACGGATTTACAGAGGGAATTCCAGAACTCAGGGCCTAGCCATCTGAAGTACGACTGGCAATAGTGGAACATTTAGAGTAAAGGATGTGCAACGGGCCAGAGTTGGAGAAACACAGTTGGTTATAGTACTCAAGAGGGCAACTCTTCAATTTTATCCATCACTTACTGCAGAAATTCCTTCTAACGTTTTTGCCTGCAATTTCTCTTTCTGCTGAGCCATCCATGGTAATCCCCACAATTTAATTCAGATAATGTGGGACATCACCTACATCGTATTATTGAAGCTGTCACAGTAAACCTAGAAAAATAAGTCCATTTGAACTTGGTTTTAATTGATTTCACCCTGGTTAGATGCACAGATACATGAAGATAGTTTATATTCACACTTTAGTACCATTCTTATGATTCCCAATCTCTACGAAACATACAATAAGCAGGGTCCCTGCTAATGAGCAGTTGGAGTTAGAGAAAATTGTGACCTA